GGTCCGGGGTTACACAGGACGTTTGCTGTGGGCTCGGGTGAGATCCCCCCAAGTTTGCTAAGAGTTTTATCGCAGTTGGTGGTTGAATTTATCCACCAAAAGAATCAAATGCTTGTCAATCAGATCACCGTCTGGTGCTCTATCTCTGCTCCGCTGACTGGCAGATTAGATGAGATCTCCTGAGCGTTAACCCAGCCTGGTTTCACCCCATCAGGTTTCACTGTAACTGTGAGCACATTTTTAGAGTCAACCGGTTAATGATTTTGGATGTTTGCAACAATGCTCATGAGTGAATTCAGCCTGAAGTGACCCTGCGTTCTGAGTCCAGCCTCGTTCTGCAGGCTGCACTGATCTCATCAAACCAGCCAGGATGTTCGCCTCTTTTTCCTAGTCTCTGGAAGAGTGTGTTTGAAACGGAGGTTATGTTTCTCGAAGACTTAGTAGAATTCTCACGTGAAACCATGCAGGATAAATATATATATATATATATATATATATATATATACTGTGTACTCAGAAAAATTTAAAAATTTGGCCAGGTGTGGTGGCTCACTCCTGTAATCCCAGCACTTTGGGAGGCCGAAGCTGGTGGATCACCTGAGGTCGAGAGTTCAAGACCAGCCTGATGAACATGGAGAAAACCTGTCTCTACTAAAAATACAAAATTAGCCAGGTGTGGTGACGCACCCAGCAACTCGGGAAGCTGAGACAGGAGAATCGATTGAATTCAGGAGGTGGAGGTTCCAGTGAGCTGAGATCGTGCCACTGCACTCCAGCCTGGGCAACAAGAGTAAAACTCTGTCTCAAAAAAAAAAAAAAATAGCGGGCCAGGTGCAGTGGCTCAATCCTGTAATCCCAGCACTTTGGGAGGCTGAGGCTGGTGGATCATGAGGTCAAGAGATCGAGAACATCCTGGTCAACATGGTGAAACCCCGTCTCTACTAAAAATACAAAAAATTAGCTGGGCATGGTGGCACATGCCTGTAATCCCAGCTACTCGGGAGGCTGAGGCAGGAGAACTGCCTGAACCCAGGAGGCGGAGGTTGCGGTGAGCCGAGATCGCGCCATTGCACTCCAGCCTGGGTAACAAGAGCAAAACTCCGTCTCAAAAAAAAAAAAAAAAAAACAGCAATGACTTCAGCCAAAAATAAAAAACAATTTGCGTTCTGAGTAATACAGGAATGTGTCATATAAAAAAATTTATTTAAAAATCAAAATAATTATCTGGGTGCAGTGGGTCACACCTGTAATCCCAGCACTTGGGAAGGCCGAGTGGGGGAGGATTCCTTGAGCCCAGGAGTTTGAGACCAGCCTGGGCAACATAGTGAGACCCTGTCTCTACAGAAGATTTAGATATTAGCCCCAGAGCGCCACGGATGAGGCTCACGCACACGTGGTAGACACGGGGAGTGGACGGATCCCAGGCTTCCTGGCAGAGCGGTGAGAAGAATGCAGTGGCAGATGCCCTCAGGCTGTTTCTGTGGGGCACGGCTCTGCCCAGGAGTTGTCCAAAGCTGTCAGACCCAGAGAAGGGTGCATCACAGTGTTGAGATGACCCAGGGACAGGCACAGGGCGTCTCCATGAGCCTATGTCCTCTACAAGCAGGGAGGACGGAGCCAGAGAGTTTCCTGTCCCTCATCAGTGTGGCCCCTTTGTCTCTGTGGCAGGGCTGGGGATGGCCGTTGTGTGGCAGGTGACGTGGGTGAGGGTGCTAGGGATGGCATCGTGTGGCAGGTGACGTGGCTGAGTGTGCTAGGGATGGCATCGTGTGGCAGGTGATGTGGGTGAGGGTGCTGGGGACAGCCGTCATGTAGCAGGTGACATGGGTGAGGGTGCTGGGGATGGCATTGTGTGGCAAGTGACATGGGTGGGGTTGCTGGGGACAGCTGTCATGTGGCAGGTGACGTGGGTGAGGGTGCTGGGGACAGCATCGTTTGGCAGGTGACATGGGTGAGAGTGCTAAGGACAGCCATTGTGTGGCAGGCGACATGGGTGAGGGTGCTGGGGATGGCATTATGTGGCAAGTGACATGAGTGAGGGTGCTGGGAACAGCCGTCGTGTGGCAGGTGACGTGGGTGAGGGTGCTGGGGACAGTATCATGTGGCAGGTGATGCAGGTGAAGGGCCTTCAGAGCCACTCCTGGCCTGGCCCAGGTCTTTGGGCCTCTGGAGTGTTCTGTGGCGATCTGGTGGACACTGGCACAGTGCCAGCTGCCACAGCACCCACCCCAGCACCCGCCTGGGTCTGGCTCCGCCTGCCTTGTTGCAAAAGGGACCTGCAGGGGGTGGGTCCCTTTTGTGCCCTTGCCCAACCTGCATCCTGCCTCAGGCACGGCCCCACAAGAGCCCTCACCACAGGCTCTGATCCATCCCTGACCTGCCCCCCTCACCCTGCCGTCTCAACACAGGGGCCTCCTCTGTATCAGGAAGCCCAGGCTCCCAGCCCTTTCTCTGTGCAGTTCTCTCCAGGTGGGGTGGGAGAGACCTGCCAAGACAAACAAGATTCCTCAGCTTCACTCAGTGTGAAGCCAGAAGGGACCAGACCCAGACACCCCTCCCAGTGCCAGCTGCTCCACAAAGCCCCTTTCTCCAGCAAGAGAGTGTGGCCAGCCCTCTGATGCTCAGGGGCCTTCTCAGCCTCCCCTGACCCCCACCTTGGGGCTGGGGGGTGCAAGAGGAAGGAGAATGGAGACTTCTCCATCTCAGGTCGAGGGCGCCTGTCGTCCTGCCACAACCCGGCAGCCACCCTGGACCAGTGCTGGTCCCAGAGCTTCTCCAAGGCAGGCACAGGGCAGCCATGTGGGAGGTCTCGGTGCCAAATGCTCTAGTGCCCCTGGCCAAACAGTGGCCTGGCAACTCGGGATCTGCACCATGCGTGGGTCTCCCCAGCCTCCCATGCTGCACCCTGGAGAGGCCCTGGGCACTGGGTAAGCCTCTCGGGGCTGGAGGAGGTGCCCAGGGGTTCAGAAGCACTTGAATGTGAACGGACTGAGAATGAACTTCCAGAAGCACTGCCCCACTGAAAAAAAAAGCCCAAGGGACCATCAGGGCATGCCAGGAAGCATTGAGGCAGCCACTGGGCCCACAGCAGGGTCTGGGATGGGCAACCCTGGGTGGAGACAAGGGGAGGTTGTCTGGGTGGACGTTGCTTTATCCGCAGCTTATCTGAGGGAAGGGAGTCTGCCCCAGACCAGGTACCCCAGACCTCTGCACCAACGGCACAGACCTAGCGGAAGGGAGGGAGGAAGGGTGGAAGGAAGGACGGACGGAAGAGCAGATAGATTCGTGGGTGGGTGGGATGGATGGATTTGTGGGTGGGTGGGTGGATGAATGGATGGATAGATGAGTGAGAAGATTAGTGGAGGGATGGATAAATAGATGCATGCATGGATAGATTAGTGGATGGATGGATGGATGGATAGGTGGATGGGTGGATGGATGAATGGATGAATGAGTAGGTAGATTAGTGGATGGATGGATGGATGGATGGATAGGTAGATGGATGAGTGGATAGATTAGTGGGTGGATGAATGGATGGAGAATGGGTGGATGGGTGGATGAGTAGGTAGATTAGTGGATGGTTGGATGGATAGGTGGATGGATGAGTGGATAGATTAGTGGATGAACAGATGAATGGATGGATGAGTGGTTAGGTTGGGGGCTGGATATATGGGTGGATGAGTGAATAGATTCGTAGATGAAAGATTGAATGGATAGATTGGCGGGTGGATGGATGGAAGGATGGGTGAGTGAATAGATTCGTGGGTGATGGATGGACAGATGGATAGACAGATGGGTGGGTGGACGGGTGGATAGATTAGTGGGTGCATGGTTGGATGAATAGGTGGATGGATGATGGATGGATAGATTAGTGGATGAGTGGATGATTTAGTGAGTAGAGAGGTAGGCGGATGGCAGATGGATGAAATCTGGTGGGGGGGCTGACCTATACTTTAGTGGAGGGCTGGGCTGGGAGCTGGGCCCCAAGAGTAGATCACCACTGAGCTTGTTTTCCCTGCTGTTGGCACCCAGCTTATCATTTCCCTCCACCACCAATGAATGCCTGGTCTGGAGCAGCCTTTTTTTTTTTTTGAGACAGAGTCTCTGTTGTCCAGGCTGGAGTGCAGTGGCGAATTCTCAGCTCAATGCAACCTCCGACTCCCGGGTTTAAGTGAGTCTCCTGCCTCAGCCTCCTGAGTAGCTGGGATTGCAGGCACGCGCCACCGTGCCCAGCTAATTTTTTTGTAGTTTTAGTAGACACGGGGTTTCACCATGTTGGCCAGGATGGTCTCTGTCTCCTGACCTGGTGATCTGCCCGTCTCAGCCTCCCAAAGTGCCTGGATTACAGGCGTGAGCCACCGCGCCCAGACTGGAGCAGCCATTTCTACAGCCCGACGGTCCAGAGCAGATGCACCCCCCTCAGGAAGCCCCCAGTCACTGCCCCACCAGCCACACCCACACTCAAGAGCACTGGCGGCTTTCTGGTTTGCTCTGCTAAAGGTTTAATGAGACAACACTACAAACTGCCTCTGGGGCTTCCATTCCCAACCTCACCCCATTCAAAGCCCCTCCCACGCCACCTCCTCCCAGGCTGAGGGAGGAAGGTGATGGGTCTGAAAAGGTGGAAGGGACTGAGGCAGTGGAGGGGCCTGGAGGAGAAAGGAGCTGTGTCCCTGGGGAGCTGGGCGGGGCTGGGGGCTCAGAGCTGCATTCCTAGGGAGCTGGGCGGGGCCGGGGGCTCAGAGCTGCCTCCCTGGGGAGCTGGGCGGGGCCGGGGCTCAGAGCTGCCTCCCTGGGGAGCTGGGCGGGGCCGGGGGCTCAGAGCTGCATTCCTAGGGAGCTGGGTGGGGCCGGGGGCTCAGAGCTGCCTCCCTGGGGAGCTGGGCGGGGCCGTGGGCTCAGAGCTGCCTCCCTGGGGAGCTGGGCGGGGCCGTGGGCTCAGAGCTGCATCCCTGGGGAGCAGGGCAGGGCAGGGGGCTCAGAGGTGCATTTGTCGCAGGATCCAGGGCACGTAGGTCTGGACTCTCGTGTAGACGCCAATGCTGGGCCGATCGCTGACAAATCCCCAGCTCGTCACGCCCACCTGGATCCAGGTACCTCTCTTCTTGCAGACCAGGGGGCCGCCTGAGTCACCCTGTGGAGCAGGGAATGGCCGGCTTGACCAGAGACACCCAGGACCAGCACATCCCAGTCCAGCCTCGGGGCTGCAGGTGGGAAAAGGGATGGCAGGAGAGAGGCGCCGGGTCTCACCTTCCAAGTGCGGCAGCCTGTGCGGCCAGCACAGATCATGTCGTCCTGGATGAACTTTCTGTCTCCAGCGCCAGGAAAAGCGTCGTGTATCTGCCGCTCGCAGTCTGTGTTGCTCAGCGTGGGGACCTTCACCTGCTGCAGGCGGTAAGGAGGCGGCAGCATATCTGGGGAGACAGGCCTCGGGTGCTGGGAGCGGCTCGGGGGGTCCCCCAGCCAGCGCCAGGCAGAGCCCCTCCCTGCCCCCGGCCTCAGCTCTGCCTACCCGGCCTAAGGCGGAGTCAAAGGGGCTCCACCTGCAAAGCTACAAAAACCCAAAATGGAGATGCCTCCCAGGCTCAAGCCATCCTCTAGCCTCAGCCTCCCAAGTCACCGGGACCACAGCCACGCACCTCCATGCCCAGCTGATTTTTGAGATGGGAACTCTCTGTCTACCGGCTAGAGTGCAATGGCTCCGTCTCTGCTCACTGCAACCTCCGCCTCCCGTGCTCAGCTCATTCTCCCGCCTCAGCCTCCCGAGTAGCTGGGATTACAGGCGCACACCACCATGCCCCGCTAAAGTTTGTGTTTTTGGGAGACACGGGGTCTCACCATGTTGGCCAGGCTGGTCTTGAACTCCTGACCTCAAATGATCCGCCTGCCTCAGCCTCCCAAAGTGCTGGGATTACAGTCATGAGCCACTGCGCCTGGCCAATATGTACTTTTTTAAGTTTTTTGAAGAGATGAGGTCTCCCTGTGCTGTCCAGGCTGGTCTTGAACCCCTGGGCTCAAGTGATCCTCCTACCTCAGCCTCTCAGAGTGCTGAGATTACAAACATGAACCACGGCACTCACTTCCCTACTGACCCCACCACCCGTCCCCCAATACCTTTTACATTAGGAGAAAAGGGGGGCAGGACAGAACACATACTCTAGAAGAGGGAGGCGGGGTGTACACTCTCTACAACACCAGGCATTGCCTTTTAAAGAACAGGCCGTGCACGATGACTGACGCCGGTAGTCCCAGCACTTTGGGAGACTAAGGCAGGTGGGTCACCTGAGGTCTGGAGTTCGAGACCAGCCTGACCAACATGGAGAAATCCCGTCTCTACTAAAAATACAAAACTGTGCAGGTATGGTGGTGCACGGCTGTAATCCCAGCTACTCGGGAGACTGAGGCAGGATCATTGCTTGAACCGGGGAGGTGGAGGTTGTGGTGAGCCGAGATTGCACCACTGCACTACAGCCTGGGCAACAAGAGCGACACGCCATCTCTCTTTTTTTTTTTTTGAGACCAAGTCTCACTCTGTAACCCAGGCTGTAGTGCAGTGGCATGATCTGGGCTCACTGCAACCTCCGCCTTCTGGGTTCAAGCGATTCTCCTGCCTCAGCTTCCTGAGTAGCTGGGATTACAGGTGCGTGTCACCACACCCGGCTAATTTTCTTTTTGTGTTTTTAGTAGAGACGGGGTTTCGCCATGTTGGTCAGGCTGGTCTTGAACTCCTGACCTTGTGATCCGCCTTCCTCAGCCTCCCAAAGTGCTGGAATTACAGGCCTGAGCCACCTAGCCTGACTGGGAAATTCCATCTCAAAAAAAAAAATGAAGGCCGGGAGCAGGTGATGAAGAAAGCCTCAGGGTCTCGGAAGCCGTCAATAGAGCGAGGGACGGATGGGTCAGTTCCTGTCCTCTGCGAGCCCATTCCGTTTTCCACAAAACGAAGAAAAATGCCTCACAACGAGAATGTGCATAAAACACATGTTCTGTACACACACGCACAGCGCAGTCGGTGCCTCCTCCCACCGCCCCAGATGCTGGTGTTCTCTTCTCCCACCTGTATCATGAGCTGGCACCCCAGGCCTGCCCACCTGACCCCTGCACCCCAGCCCTAGCAAGAGAAACCCAGACAGGTGCAAACCAAGGGCTTGCCTTCCGTGAGCCTTCCTGGGACCCCCTCGAGTGCCGCCTCGCGTCCCTCCGGCTCTCACCGAACAAGCCGACCCTTCCCCAGCCTGTGGTCCAGCAGTTGTCAGTGTCAGTGAGTTCCAGGGACGCTGACGGCAGTGCGACCGTCGCGAGGGATTTTGTTGTTCTCACGCTGGTGGCCAGCTTCAGCAGGGCAATGTCTCCCCCCAGGAAGAAGATGGAGAAATCGGGGTGGACGATGACCCGGCTGACATTCAGCAGCTCCCGGCCCCCATAGAGATACACGTCCCCGGCGTGGATCCGGTAGGTGGACGGGTCAGTGTCCTTCCTGGGGAGGACAGAACCGGGCTTCTCAGGGGGCCTGGTCTGGGGCGGCCCCACTGCCACCCTCCCCTCACTGGGGTCCCCACCCAGGACTCACCGGAAGATGCAGTGGGCGGCGGTCAGCACCCACTGGGGGTGGATGAGGGAGCCCCCGCAGATGTGCACCCAGGATGCCCATTGGTAGCTGTAGATCCTCAGGCTGACCTGCCACGGCCACTTCCCCTGGGGGGCGTTGTGGCCCCCAACGATGCCCAGCAGGTCATTCTCAGGGACAGTCGCTGGGAGCGACAGGAGGAGGTCAGGGAGCCCGGCCTCAGACACCCGAGCCTCAGCCCGTGCCCACACTCGGGCCAGAGCCGGACTGTACACACGTCCCCTGGATCCTGGGTCAGGGCCGGCGGAGCCTCTGGGAAGGGAGGGCTGTGAGGGCCGGGACTCACCTGGGCTCCCCGAGCTGCAGCTCCCCAGGGAGAAGATGGCCAGGAACAGCAGCAGCAGCATCTGCAGGGAGACAGCGTGGAGTGGGGCTGGGGGCTCAGACCCGGGGTCAGGGGTGGGTCGGGGAGCCGCCCGCAGGCGTCAGGGAGGGGATGGCATGCTTACCATGCCAGGACTCCGCAGCTCTCCCCAGCCCCTCAGAGCCCCTTTATCCTCGCTCAGAGGTGGAGGGCAGCAGGAGGTGGGGCCCTGTGGTCGCCCCAGGTCCAGGAAGTGTCTCTTCACCCATCCTCCACTCTTGTGTCCCACCCACACTTCAGGTCTCCACCCACCCCACAGCCTGGGCTGCCAGGACAGGGGTGAGAGGGGCGGGTGAAGGCAGGGAGCGTGGGGTGGTGCTGGGGCCCTCGAGTCTGCCTGTTCCTCCTGGAAGAGGTCACAGCATCTGGTTTGGAGGGCAGGGCTGTCAGGAGAAACTCAGATCTGGGATGCAGGAGGGAGCCCGAGGCAGCAGCAAGCCTCTGCGTCCCACCATGGGGTCCCCGGGACAGTTTCCGGCAATCCATGCACAGCAGCATGAAGGTGACGGCCATGAAGGCGACGGGTGGCCCCATGTGGACGTGCAGCTCCCTCTAGGACAGACTGCAGGCCCATCAGATCGTCTGAGGGCGGTACCCACCATGGTGGTGCCCACCACGATTGGTAAAGCCCACTCTGCAGATGCCCTCCGGCCAGCTCAGCCTGGAGTCTGCACGTGGAGATGCCTCCATGGTGGGTGTTGGGGTGAGGTCCTCTGTCCTCAGAGAGACCTTCCAGACACAGTTGAGGCAGGCTGGGACCATGTCGCCCAGGCTGGAGTGCAGTGGCGCGATCACAGCTTACTGCAGCCTCCACTGCTTGGGCTCAAGCCATTCTCCCACTCAGCCCTCCCAGGGAGCTGGGACCACGGGCAAACTATGACCCAGAGACAGGAGAGAGACCTGTGCAGTGGTGACTGGAGGGGCCGGGGGCAGAAATGCCATCCTGGACTTGTGCCAGGTGTACCCTGGGCTTCGGGCAAAAGCTTCGGAGGTGTGGCAGCACCAGAGCCGTGGTCCTCCCAGGGAGCACGGGGCTTCGGGGACAGAGCCAGGACCCGAAACTGCAGAGGCAGGGGAGAGGCAGTGAGGGGAGGGACAGAGGACAGATGTGGAAGAAGGAGCGGGGAGGACCCTCGGGGAGAGCTGGACGCGGCTGTCTGGTGCCAAGGACTCAGGGTGCCCCACGTCCTGCAGCCCGGCTTCTGCCCCAGCCCCAGTGAGAGCTGCTCCTCCTCTGGGTACTGCACAAGAAGCCACAGGCACCGTGAGAAAGGCCTGGCAGCTCCAGCCTCTCCCTCCACCAGTGGGTGCTAGGACCCCAGCCAGAGCTCATGAAAGGGGGTTCAGGGGCTCACACCCTGCCCAGAGTGTCGGGAGCCTGACCCCCCTGCTCCCTGAGGCCCACGGTCCCTAGTCCCCTCCCTTTCTCCCTCTCCCACCTCGGCCCCCACTTGCCCCAGAAACCTTCCGGAATCCCTTTCTTCAGTCTTGAGCCCCCCCAGTCTCTGCAGGACCCCCACCCCACCGCACACCAAGCTGGGGGCACACATGTTTGAGGTGGGGCAGTCGGCACTAAAAGCCAAAATTTTCTGGCAGAGGTGAGGAGGTGAGTGAGTCTCCCAGCCCCTTGACTGGCTGGCGACAGACGGACGACCCCACCTGATCCTCAAAGCTACGGGTAGCTGGGCCTGAGAGTGCCAGGCACCCAGGGGACCCTCCCGCTGAGGCCCGGGGTGCAGGCAGCCACTCTCCACACACCCACCTCCTTTTCCCTACCCCCTGTCCAACTCAGGGCCAGGGCGTCCTGCCCCAGCCTGGGGCTGGCGGGAGAGCTGAGGAGGACGCAGCCACTGGGAGCTAGAGGAAGACACTGCTGTGGCTTCCCCGGCGTTTGCTGACCTTTTTCAGCCATTTCCCCCCAAGCCCCTGATAACAGACACCCAATCTGATGCCCATTCTGGGGACACCCAGGTAAACCCTGGGTCAAGGGCCCTGTGGCCCATGCAGGCATCCCCCCAACCCCAGTGTCCCAGGAAGCCTGGGCTCTGGGAAGAATCCAGAATCCTAGTGGGACCAGGAGGGGATGGAGAGACCCTCGATCCTCGGGCCCATATTGTGGAGACCCTGGGGGTGTCCCCCACTTCAGAGGGGCCCGGGGAGCAGGAGGGCTCTGCAGGGAGGTGGCAGGGGCCTCCCTGCGGCTCCAGGAAACCCACGAGGTGGGGTACTCCCGTCTCCCTGAAAGAAGGGGCCGCTAGGGCAGAGAGTATTCTCTGGTAAGTGGGAGTGGCCAGAGCTCAGCAGGCAGGGGCTTTGGAACCAGAGGGCCTTGTGGTGCCCAGGCCGTGGCCATGACAGGGCCACTGTGTCCCATTTTGGGTCTTAGGGGCAGCCGTGGGGACCCATGTCACGGCGGTTCCTCTGCCTGGAGAGAAGAGGTGGAGGAGCAGCTGCTCAGGGGCAGAGCTGGGGTCTCCCAAATTCCAGGGCAGCCAGCTCCATGGAGACCCACAGTTCAGGGAGGCTGTGTCCTCAGCAGACCCTGAGACTCCGGGAGCTCCAAGGAGGAGACCCGGCCAAGGGAGCAGCCTCAGGCCTCGCAGTGTGGCTCGGTGTCAGAACTGGGGTGCAGCGAGGCCGGGTTTCATTTCACAGATCGGGGGAGTGAGGGAAGGGAGGGAAACTCTGCCAGCCAGCGATGGCTGTTGGGGAGAGGACAGCTATCTCAACCCTGGGCTGTGGGAAGCCGGGGAGGGAGGCTGAGCCCTCCCAGAATAAGGCAATCACCACACGCCCTCCCTCGGGCCCCCAACCCGGCCTGAAGGTGCAGTCACTCCAGGCTGGCCCCGAGCCCTCACCATAGCCCAGGACTCATCAGAGAATCAGAGACTCGGAGGCTGCTGTTCACATGGTTTAATAGCATGGCAGACCCAGGCAGAAGGCAGGGTCCCTGGGTGTGTCCTCCCCAACCAGCCAACATCCCCGGGATACCAACTTCTGAGCCCCCACTTCCTCCGCATCCTCACCCCTAGGTCAGGGAAGGACGGACGGGCTGCTTTGGGGCCAGGTGGGGCAGGCAGGAACAGGGCCTGGAGGCGGGAGGGGGAATGCAGCTGGAGGCCAGGCGGGGAGGCCAGGCAGGGAGGCCAGGAGGGCAGGTTGGCTCCCGGGTTCCCAGAGGCTCCTCAAAGCTCCAGTGGGACGTGCTGACGGACCCAGGATGAATAGGTCATCACCCGGGTGTAGACATCAGGGTAGTCCCTGTGCCCGGAGGCCATGCCCCAGCTCAGCACGCCGACCTGGAGCCAGGTGTCCAGCCAGTAACAGACCAGGGGGCCCCCAGAATCGCCCTGTAGGGGAGGACAGTCAGGGCACAAAGGCCCCACGGTGAAGCCGCTCCCACACCAAACACTGAGGGCAGAGGGCAGGGCTGGGGTCTCACCTGGGAGGAGCCCTGCCCCTTCCTCCCTGCACACAGCATGTCAGCCTTGATGTGATACACCCTCTCGCAAGCCTGGGTCCTTACGATGAGGACCTCAGCCTCCTGCAGGTGGTGGGCTGGGGGCAGCGGCCCTGTGGGGAGGGGCTGGGTGAGCACAGCTGGCCAAGATGGCAAAACCCCGTCTCTACTAAAAATACAAAAATTAGCTGGGCATGGTGGCGAGCGCCCATAGTCCCAGCTACTCGGGAGGCCGAGGCAGGAGAATTGCTTGAACCGGGAGGTGGAGGCTGCAGTGAGCCGAGATCGCACCCCTGCACTTCAGGTGGGCGACAGAGCAAAACTCTGTCTCAAAAAACAAAAAAATGGCAATTGCTGACTGAGAAATGGCCTCCGGCTCCTGTGGCTGTCTCCTAGGTTTAAACAAGAGCTGAAGATGCCTCCTGGTGAGGGGAGGCCTGGAGCAGGCGGCCAGAGGTCCTGGGGCCCACCTGGGGCCCAGGCACGCCCCTGCCGGCCCCACGCACCCTGCCCAGTGCTTCCCTGCCCGTCCCCTGACCTTACCGAGGGTCCCCCAGCCAGTCACCCAGCACCTCATCCCTGGGTGGAGCATCAGTGAGTCGGGGGCCAGGGACACCGGGTGGACGAGCTCCGACAAAGTCACAGGGGCCTCCAGCTTCAGCAGGGCGACGTTGGCGCCCCCCAGGGCCAACAGGCTCAGGTTGAACTTGGGGTGCAGGATGATCTGGGTCACCTTCGTCAGCTGGTCGTGGTGATAGAGTGTCACTTGTCCAGTTTGGACCCTGTATGTCTGTGGCTCCGTCGCGTCCCTGTGGGAGACCAGCTGCTTCTCAGGGCAGGGGGCCCCCATTGCAGCAGGAATATGTCCAGGGTCTCAGCCCGGGGTCAGGAGGAGCCACAGCTCCCAGAACCTGAGCCGCCTCCCGCCCCAGGACACCGCCCGCCACACTACACGGCCCTCCCCCTAGGCTTCCTCCTGCCCACATCTCCCAGCACGGGTCTCCCGGTGAGCACTCACAGTGCTGTGCAGTGGGCCGCAGTCAGCACCCACTGGGGGTGGATGAGGGAGCCCCCGCAGCTGTGCTCCCACTGGTCCCGCTCCTTGTTGAAGGTCCTGAGGCTGACCTGCCACGGCCACTTCCCGGGAGGGGCACTGTGGCCCCCTACGGTGCGCGCCCACTCAGTCTCTGATCTGGGATCTGGGGACGTGGCGAGAGGGGCTGTGAGGGGCCCAGGAGCCCTGCCCAGAGTCAGCATGGCCTCCCCCATGCCGTCCCCCAGAGCCCAGGGTGAACAGGTAGCTCCCAGGGGCTGATCAGCACCCAGGCACCCGAGTCAGCACAGGCCTGGAGTCGGGGGCAAGTCCCAGGACAGTGGGAGCATTGGATGGGGCCAAAACTTACCCGGGAACATGGGCACGGAGCCCCCCAGGCGGGGCAGGGTCAGGAACAGCAACCACAGCATCTGCAGGGTTGTGGTAGCACTGGGCTGGGTGAGAGCTGGGACCGGGACCCCGGGGTCTGGGAT